TGGGAGGCGGAGCCCGGAGCTGCAGCACGTCCGAGGGATGCGGGCTGAGCGGCGACGAGGGGAGACGCGGGTCGCCCCCGCCCGCGGCCGGGGGAAGGCGGCGTGGCTCGCCCGGGCACCGCCTTTCCCGCCCCCCCCGGGGCGACCCGCGGAGGTTCGGCAGCGGGCAAGCCCCTGCGGCAGGGCCCGGCAGGTCTCAGCCCTTTCTTGCCGCCCTCTTCCCCTCCGAGCCCGCTCTCAGGTGCCTGCCACGGAGGTCGTGACGCTCTTGGGTCTCGCTGAGCGAGTGCGGGCAGGTGGCAAGAGGTGGCGGGTCATTTGGGCTTTCTGAAGCTAACTTCTGCGTCCCCGAGAGTCTCACGGTTAGGGGCTGGTGCGGGGGGTTAAGTTTTTTACCACCATTATTTGTTCCTCTATGTCAAGATGGGTATCTTAACCATCTGGAGCCTGGATTAGGAAGTTGAGGAATGCCTTGACTGAAGGCAAAAATCCAGCAGTTTTAGCTTCTTCCAATCAAGTACAGAAATAGCAGGTTGGCAAGGGGGAAGGGCAAGCCGAGCCAGGCTGATCCACATTGCTGCCAGTGCCTCTGCTTTCTGCTGCACCGACAGCCAAAGCTAGAGAGAGCCCAGAGTCAGAGCAGAGACGGTCCAGCACTGCAGGCTGTGTTTTCTTGATGCAAGAGCTCCAATACCAGATCAGACACACCTCAGCCACAAGGACAGAACCATGCTAGAAGTCCCTCTTTTTTCTACAAATTTGTTTAAAAAACAAACAACAAAGAAAAGCAAAAAAAAATCCAGATAGAGTATCTCTGGAACAAGAATGGGATCTTCCATCTAGCAGTAGCAGAGCATACAGCAGAGATTGTCTCTCCCATCCACAGCTGTCATGAACTCCACACTGCGTACTACTTTTGATCTGGATCAGATTTGTCCCACACAGTGACAAGAAACCACACAGGCCGGTGCTCTTAGCCACTGGGTCCTAGCTTCTTAGTTACTAAAAGATTTTTCTGCAGGAAAAAGGGAACAGTGCCAAGTTCTTTCCATATGCCCACATAAGCTACACCTACCTACAGCCTCCAGGGAACAGCAGGTTTCCACATCTCAGCATCCTGCACGGCTGGCACTAATTTAAGGTCAGGGCCAAGGGCTAAAATATCATCCCACACAGCTCAGCAAGGTCAAGTAAAGGGAATGATCCCCTCTGTCACCTGATCTGATTCCTTGGAAAGAACAACAGGAGAACTCAGTCCTGCAAATGATCCATATATAGGGAACAAATGAGTTAAGATGATAACCTTATCCTGTAGTACTGCCCAGCTGCCCCATCCTGAACAAACATTAGAAAGGAATCTGTTACCTTCAAGGACTACTAAGGTAAAAAACTTCCCTCTGTTCATGGTTCTAAGCCCAGCTGATCACAGTCCTAGCCAAAAGATACTTTTAAAAGAAATGTCCCTTCCAATATTTTGAAGATTTTTAGCTAAACTTTTAAAGCAGGTGCAAGAAGTAAACCCAGGACACTTGGATCTGAAGAGCAGAACTTTTCTACCTTGGCATTCAGGTGGGAAAATGACAACAGAATAAAAGCTCTTCAGGAGTCTCCAGTGCAACAGATGAACAAGAGGGCTTCTCTCCCCTAAATGACCAAAACTGTCATCATCGGTTAAACAGAGCAGACCTTCTCCAGGTTTAAAGGTGATTCCTGCAGCATAGCATCCACTTCTTGCTTGTCTAGAGCCTGCCCAGCCTGCTCTCCCAAAGCATAAGAACAAGCTACCAAATACAGCACTTTTGAGAAGCACTAACCCACTTTACTCATAGAACACCACTCCTGCCAAAACATTCCAGGCACTAAACAGCTATTATAAAAACAATCTCTTTTTGATTAAAAAACTAAACCTCATCAAAACTTCAAAACAGATGGATAAGCAAAAATATGCTATGCCAACAGAAAGAAACAGCAGTCATTTAAAAATGTCTGTAGGGAGGAGGGAAGCGAGTTTTTAAAGTAAAGAGAGAATAAATGAGCTGAATTTCAGGGGTAACAAGTTCCACACAGTTGGGGACTGCCATGTCAAGAGCTCTGTATCGCCTCTGATTCCAGATGCTAGTGGGAAAATGCTAACCATGAAGTCTAACATAAATGCAATAAACTACAGGGAGAACCCCCAAAACCTTACCTTAACACCAAACTCCCACTAAACTGGAAAACTGCTGCAAAACTACAAGTTCATTTTTCTCCTCTAAGGAATGTTTTTCACTAGTGGTAATGATACTTTTTTTCAGGGAAATATCTCTGCACATTGCACATATGAGCTAGTGCTGTGCTATAATTGTCACAGAAAGGAAATTAACAGCATTCTAATGAGGAGTTTTGTTACAGACAAATTATCATCTTCCAAGTCTGTGAGAGCCTCTTAATTTAGACTGCCATTTCTCCCCACTGCATACCGTGGTGACTCTACCTTGGAAAACAGCAATTGCTAGAGAAACTAGGGAACTGTGGGCAACCACTGAGCAGATGCAGACAGAACACAGAAGGGCTTCAGAAGAAACTTAGAACTTGAGATAATAAACCCCAATCCATTTTCACATTCAGTCATGTAGGCAACCTTTTATATTCCTAATACTGCAAACAAAATGTAGATATACGTCCTTCCTGCATTGGAAATGGCTAAAAAGGTCAGCTCATGAATATGCAATAAAAAGCCCTCAAAGCAGGGACCCAGCCAACATCTGTTAGCTAAGCCTCCAGGAGCAAATTAAAACAGTTTGTTCACGGGTCCTTTTTCCCCCCAGTGCAGCCCCAAAGGGTTTTTACAAAACTGCCCAGCCCTCACAACTGGAACTAAATGGAGCAACCTACCCAGTTTGATTACTGTACTGGAGCTCAGCCAGCTGGCCAGCCCTGGAAGGCAACTTCTGAAGCAAAATGCAGTATTTTGGATCAGAAGCCAAAAACACTGCACCAAAACACAACCCTAGCAAGAAGTTAGAGAGCACATACAAAGTTGGGACTGGATCAGACCAGTCAGATTAACCCCTTCAGACTCATGAAAATGGCAAAAAATCTTTAAGGACCACAGATGGGGTCAATCAAAAAGTCCCATGAGACTGGGGTTTAAACCGTGTCCAAAAGGTGACAGTGGCAAAGGGCTCTTTCAGTATAAATGATACTCCTTGTGACTAGGACAATACAAGTTCACCTTTTAGGATGAGTATGAATTAGACTATATGTGTTGCCTTTTGGCTTCTCCCTGATTCACGGATACCTTCCCTCCTGAAGAGAAGGAATAGAGGGAAAAAATAAGGCCCAATCTCTTCTCTGATTTCTAACTAGTGTTGAAAGACTATCCTCCTGACCCTCCCTATTCCCCATGTTATACTTAGAACTTTTTCAAGTACAGCACTGAAAAAGTAGACTCTAGTCTTTCTACCTGCAGCTCTCTTCTCCCCCAGTAGCTGTTATTGGTTGCAGCTGGTTCTAATTGTCTTTTTGGTTTTAGCTGGGGAAATAATTCAATCTGCCATTAATCCTTTTTTGGGTGGTTGTCTTAAGAGTGAGCTCTTCTGTCAGGTGAGCCCTACAGTATTTAAGATGTGTCTCTGCTCCTTTTTAACTGTCACCTGATGGGGTCACAGCACACATTGGCAGGTTCATTCCAAATTAAAAGAATTGTTTCAAATGGAGACCAATTAGTAACTCAAGGTTAATTTCCAACGTAAAATCAAGTCATGCTTACAATTAATCCTGAACTGACAAGCTTTCAGACAGGAGGTCAAAGCTGAGGGGTGAAGGATGTGTCTCCAAGGAAGATGAATCTAGATCTTTGTCCTCTCTTTATACCACAGCCAGGCGATTCATGCATCAGACTGAACAGGAAGAGGAGATGGAGTCTGGCTTGGGAAAATACAATGAAAAAAGTTGTTAGGAAACTGACAGGATCAGAGGAAAGACAAAAATCACTGTTAAGAGATCACGAGTGAGCAGAGAATTGACTGGGCTGCACCAGCCAGCACTCAACAGCAACAGCTCAACTTTTTGGACTTCCTTCTTTATGTGCTCTCCCAGTAGAATGGTTTCCCCTCACAGTGACTATAAACCTCACAAGACCCAGGAGATCTTGGCCAGTGATACAGTGAACATCGTAGCTCTTACCTAGGCAGCACAGCTACCCAGGTTTTCACTGAGCACACCAGCCTCCCGCCCAAAGGGAGCCGCAGAGAGAACTTGAGCTCTCTTCCCAGCTTTCGGTCTGAGCAAACTCCTCTCCCTAAACCAACGGAGAAGGCCTGGTTTTATAAAAGCACGTAGCGATCTAGTCCGTTCTTCACCTGCAGGCTGGCAGCCCCAGGAGGCCTCGCCGTGAGGAAGGGCAGAGCCTCACCTCGGGGCGGGGCGTTTCTCTCCCCCGCGGCACGACCCGCCTCAGCGCTGGCCGGCATTTTTCCTCAGGGACGGCCCAGGGAACCCACCGCGGCTCTCCCAGCACCGAGCTGAGCCGACCCGACGGGGCCGTTCCACACAGCGGCGCCGGTGCCCAGCCGCCCCCTCTCCGCTCCGGGAGCGGGCGGAGCCGCTGCCCTCTCAGCTCGGCGGCAGCGCGCCCCCTGCCGGCAGCTCGCGCCGGGTCCCTCAGGCCAGCGGCGGGAACGGCAGGCCCGCCTTGCCTGCCAGGGGCCGCTTCCCTATTTCCATAGAAACGCGTCTCTGCCGAGGCTCGTTGGGTAACGAGCACAAAGCACGTTTCATTAACGTGAAAATATTCACCCGTGAACACCTTTTCCCTCAAGTGGAAGCAAGCTTACAAGCCTAACGGCAGCCCTTTTCCAGAAAAGCGGCGATTCGGGTAGGTGAGCCCCAAAAAGCACTCGAAGGGCGGCTGATGGACGAAAGGTCTGGACCAGCACAGCGGAGCCAGCGTTTCCTTCTGCACGCCCAGCACACGGACCCACGTCGGCACCCGCCTCCCCCACAGAAAAATACGGCAACGGGCTCAATACGAGAGATTTGCAAATGACACAATAAAACACGAGCCACTCGTTGGAACGGCAGTTACAATGCTCTAGTACTTGGCACAGATGATGAGCCGTGTCGTTAATACAATACTTAAAAGATTTCTGTGAGAGGGTACTTGCGGAAGGTGACTGGGAATCCCAAGTGTAAATCCAGACCGTGGTACCAGATATTTAGAAGTGTTTTGGAGCCAACAGCCACTGACTGGTTTACAACAGCAGACCCTCCCCAGAACTCCAACCTCGGAGACAGGCCAGGCAGTGCTGCAGAGCCATCGGTCTCTCAAAATGCACTTTAGCATCAGTACATTGGCAGTCTGAGATACATTTCTGAGAAATGAAGTCCTGAAATACCCTTTCAGAAGTGCATTGAGGGGGGAAAGTGGTGGGAGTAATCAGCAGCATTAAGATCTACTAAATCAGAATTTCCCATTAGGAAAACAAACAAAGAAATCTCAAGGCATGTAAATATCTAGCCTTCCCTGCTTGCTTTGATGGTAAAAGATCAACAGGCCCCAATGAGCAGGCCTGCAGATTAAGTTACACTATCACGGTGGTCTTCCTTCTTATTTTCTATCACAATGTGGTCCCCCTCTACCGAGGCAGGCATGTTGTACCTAAACAAAAGAAAAAAACCAACCACAAAACAAGTGATCTGTCAGCTCTTGAGAACACACCATGCACTTTTCAGCTTTCCTGTGCCATTGCTGCATGGTACCACAAGCTCATGAGAAGTACTGTAAAAATTCAGGGACAAGGTAAAAACATGCACTTGCTCACGTCATCAGTTCAAAAGCCCTACATAACACCGATGCATTTATTTTCTGCATCATGGGTGTCAGAAGACATCTCACAGACAAAGAGTGAGAAATACTGTTCAACTACCTGACAAACCTTCCACAAGCACTAGCCACAGTCACATTTAATAACTGGCACTTGTGAGACCATCCTGAACTACATCCAGTTTCATGCTTCCCAGTACAAGACAGACATTGACATACTGGAGTGAGTCCACTAGCAGAAGGCCACTGAAATGGGTACAGAGCTGGAACAGGAAATAAAGAGAGAGGCTGAAAGAACAGGTCTTAAGAGAAGGTTAACGTGGGGGAAATCTAATTTCTGTGGTCTCCAGTTACCTAGTGGAAAGAGGATACAAAGGTCTCTAAAGATCACTTTCCCAGGGAAAATGATAAGATTTTATACAACAGCATACACACCACTCCCAGAAAAATGTTAGCCCTCTTTTCCTCAAAAACCTTTTAGAAAATTAATAATTTTCCAGATAGAGTGGATCAGTTTACAGATTGAGAGCTTTCTAATCTTCTGTTGATAAAACTTTCTCATTCAGCTCCTCTTGCCTTGCTTTTCTGGAAGGTCAGTGTAATAGACAGGCATTAGCTTTCCCAAACAACCCACTGAACTACTTACTTTTTCTTCTCCCACTCTAGTTTGTCCTTGACAGTAAACAAAAAGTTCATGGTTGACTTAAGTTTCTGCTTTAAAATATCATAGAAGTCACTTTTGTCTTCTGATAAAAATCAGAAATAAACCTCTAATGGAGTCATAAGACAAATCAAAAGAAACTACATAGCCAAGATATTTAAGCTCCAACAACTGAAGGCATCGACAGTATTCTCTCAGATAAAGGACAAGGTTTCATAAGGACCACCTTTCAGGGCAGTGGAAAGTGGGGCAGGGGGGAATAGAGAAAAACACAAACACAGTACACAGTTATTTTATTGAAATACTTGAAAAGGCCAGCAATGGAAAAATAGGTTCGTCATGAGGAATTAATGTTTGATTTACTTGATCATAAAAAAGCTGTGTCTATAGGTAATTCTAGCCAGTTACAGAATGCACTGTGATCCATGCAACTAATATACTACAGTAGAATAGGCACTGTGTACTATTTTAGTTTTATCTTATACACAGCTTTCAACAGGTATGATCAACAGATGTGAGAAATTAAACAGCAACACTTTTCGAATTATAAACATTTATAATATACAAATTTGCTCATCTGATTCATAAGGGTTATAAAACACAACATAGTGGAAAATGAAAAACACGAATTACACACAGCATATGAAGTTGATCTGGCAGTTTTTGAAGTTTACGTTTTTCCTTTTAAGAGAAAAATCAGATGTCACTGGTCATGTAACATACAAAATCATAGGCCAGGACAGCAACAGTGATTTTTTTTCTTGAAATACATACTTGGGGAAATTTGTTCATCAGGTAAAAAGAATAGGTAAGAATGAAAATCACACGTTCTGCCTGGTATAGCTTATAGTCCAAAAAGATGAAGTCACTTCAGATGAATGTGAAATAAATAAGCAACCCTTGAGGAAGTATGATCCTTGAGTTGAACCTACTCTACCGAAAATGAATTTCAACTATATACTAGTATGTCACCATGGTGAAACATCTAAGAACAGTATTTTGAATAGCTTTTTGGGAAGCAATGTCTTAGTGCTTTAATATGTACAGGTTATTTACAGCAAATTCCCTTTTGGCCTCACAAGTTAAGCCATTTTAGCTGGCTGTTAAGATGCAATTCTTTTTTCCACGCATTATGCAATACTGTAGTAAGAGCTATAAATTAAAATAAACTTATGCATGAATTACAAATTATTAATAAAGTAACTCTGCATATATAAATATTTCTAGCAGAATTTAAAGCATTCAGAATGTACATAAAAGTTTGTTTGTTTGTTCGTTTTATTTGGTAGGGCCAGATGTGCTTCTTCTCAGATCATCGTTGCTTTAGTAATGCTTTGTACATAGCAAAACCCAAAACTGCAAAGACAGTAGCACCAAAACTTGCTCGGAGCCAAAATGTAGAGCTCTTCAGGTCCGCTTGTGTCACATGCCTAAAATTCAACACACATACAGAACCAGGTTAATTCCATGACAGGAGTATCAGACAACTTGTGCCAAACTACTCTGCTTTTGGAAATTCATCACTACACTTGTCACAGGCAAGCAGCTTAAAATTCAGCCTTATGAGTACTTATACAGTCATTTCACTTTTTTTTTTTTAAAGCTTGGGATTTGATCTGCAGCTCTGATCACATTAGTAGATCTCACTCAAGTCAGAGAGCTGCTCACACAGCTGAAGAGAAATGCAGGAGCAGATCATTAGTCATGAAAGTGGGGAGGGCAGTGTGTCGTCTTTGAGAGTACCAGCAAGCATTCATAAAAAGAAAACAAAAACAGCTAGCAAATAATTAATAATCCATAGCGAGAACAACTCTGTCCAGCAAAATCCTTTTTTTTAAATGTTGAGTTTGCATATTTCTGCTTTTCCATGAAAAAACTTTCCAGTTCTGTTGAATATCTACTTACACTTCTCCCCCAAAAGAGTTTACTGACAAGTAGCAAGTAATATTTTTCCAAAAGCTAGAATCAAAAGGACCATTTGTAAATCCCTTTCTTCCCAGTACAGTCACAAGAACAGCAATAGAAACAATCATCCAATACCAAGCTGAAAGCTAAGAGAAAGGGCTTAGTGAAACAAGCAGTGACAATGGCATCAACAGAAGACAAGATGTAACAATGGTATGAAGTGACTGTATGACATAAAAAGCCACATCTTGCATGACAGTAGAGACAGCCAATGACCCAACTCTCCCAAATATTGCAAGAAGTCTGTGAGCATGCTCAGTTAAACATGGCTAGCCATCCTCAAAAGTAGTCTCAAGTATGACAGCTTACCATAAAGCAGGAGCTACCATTTCAAACAAGTTATCACAAATGCCATAATTCAAAGCACAAGAAGTTCCTGAACAATAGTAAAGGGTTTTTTTGTTTGTTTGCTTGTTTTTGTTTAAGATGGAACTTGCAACAGAACTTCACTAGCCTATGTATTTTAGCCTGTATTAATCATCATGGGTTACTCAGCGAAAGCTGCAGGAGTATTAAGTACAAGGAGCATACACCGTGCACAAGAGAGTTCATATAGTGTAAACTGCAGAGCTACAGCATACAAGCTGTTTAATAAAGCAGGAACTGTTACTTGCTATCAAAATATACAAAACCAGTTTAGGATATTCTTTAGTAGACATTTGCAGGAGTAATATAAGCCATATAATCAGTGTACTGTCATACCACATGCTGACAAACAGGCTCTTTGGTGCACAAACAGCAGAACACAGCTGGTCTCTAAAAAAATCCTAATCCTGTTTTAAAAATATCTTGCTGGGTTATGGAACAGATCAAATTCATGAATTCCTGCAAGCATTAGTTCTTCTACAGCTAGTTTTGACAAACTTTCTGCAAACTAGATGTCAAGTGGTTTGCTGAGGGGAAGAAAGGGAAAAGGCAATGGCAAGGTCACCTTGGTTTGGCTGCTGTTACCTGTCTTCAAGTAAACGTGGACCAAGAGATGACTCCATGAAGATGGAATCTTCTACAAAGTTGACGGCGTGCACCTGCTGCATAATACTGCTCTCCTCGTCTGCTAACAGCATGGCCCCCAACTCATCTATGTAGGGTCTTAACCTTTTTACACACATGCACAGTTTGCAGTTCATAGCATGGCTCAACAACAGCATCTCAAATATGCTCAAATAACAAAGCCCAAAGAATTTATAATTTTTAGCCATCTAGCCCTGATTCTTGTGCAGTTGTTAAAAACTTAGTGCTTGGGGAAAAACAGAAATAGATGGAGTTTGTACTTTTGATGAACTAAGTACTATATATGATTTTATGCAGCTAAATGCCATTGCTTTAAGGACAAAAGAAAACTGCTTAAAAAACTGAATCTCTTCCCACTCCATCCCCAAAGCCTCAACTTCCATGTGTCCACAGCATATTGCAATACTCCTGCACCACATGCACGAGCTACAGTACCTGTGCCAAACACACTGGAATGAGTCCAACACTCATAAGACCTAAAACTGACAAGATCTCATTACTGTTGATAATTCAATTAAAGACTGAATTTTATCACTACATGTGGTGGTTTTTTTAGTAAAAGACTACACAAACCCTTGTCTTCAGATCTGTAAATTATAAAACTTATCTGTGTATGTAAAATAAATCACTTATGTAACACGACTTTAATATATTATGTGACAAGCTCTGTTGGGTAAGTATTTGTGTCACTAACAATTCTCAAGTTTAATATGGTTAATTCAAATACCTAACTATTTGTATAATTTAAAAAACACCCCTTTAAATGTGCAAATCACTGTTAAAATTGCAAATTAATGCTTTTGCATTGCCCCATAAAGCACTATCTCTCACATCTAGATTTTCTGATTCCTATCTATAATTTGCCTTGTTTTGACTTCTGCACGTGTCCATATTTAGTGGTATGCAAGAAATTTGCTGAGCATGCTTCATCCTTTAAAAAACAATTAAAACATTCTCATTCATGATAAAATCCTCTTTTTATGTCTAAAGGGAGAGTAAATTGACTCTGATCCCTTTTCTAAGCCTAACAGTAACAGACTTTTTCATTTAAATAAAGGAACTAAATCAAGGCAGGGATTTGTCTTATAACCTCAAGGAAATCAACTGACTTCAGTAAGAAGTGATTAGGGCCCTCTGAACATCTCGGCCCAAAAATCCAAACTCCAAAAATACTTACTGAAATTCAGAACACTACGAATGTCTAATTGCTTTACATCTTTGAAAAAAAATTCCAATTTTTCTTCCCTTAAATGTTCCTTATGATGTCATAAATTCCATTTTTACAACTTTGATCCCTAATATTGTTTAGCTGCCATTAATAGGAAAAAAAAAAAAAAAGAAATCTGTCTGAAATAATAAAAAAGGATCAATGTTTGTTTCCAGCATAGGTTCTTTGACATGAGGGTAGATATAATGCAGAAAAACTTTTCTCAATACATACTGAAAAATTCTACCTCTTCAATAAATAATGTTCAAATTTTATTTCAGTGTAGTTGTGTTTATGAAACCAGTTTTTGCCAGTGGTAGAAATTATTACTGCCTTGCTAGTAAGACAGTAACTCTGAATTAGAAAAATTATTCTCTCCAAGGGCAAAACATATACATGTGCACATATACACACACACAGTCGTAGTTAGGACTCCATAAATGAAGTTGTATTTTAAACTCTTGCTTATTAGTAATAATAACTAGCTTTCAAACTTCCCAAATAGATTGGTGTGTGTATTTAATCATACAATTAGTTCCACATATGTAAGAAAGTCTAGAAATTTTGCCTTTGGCATAAAATTCAGATTTTAATGCACATTTTGGGGAAAAAAGAGATTTTTATTCAACCTACTCTTAATAGTGAGTCATATAACTTGTCACTTGTTGAATAAGATCTTTGAAATCTGTACAGTCTTTCTTTTAAGAGGCTTTAACAACTCACAAGAAGTTTGCAACATTCGCTTATCAAGAGGTTAACTGAGCATGCCTGTCATGGTTACACACAGAAAATTGCCGAGTTATGGGCCAATACTGACGCTTTTCCCCATGTCAGCAGCAGAAGAATCCCAAGCCTGGGAAGCTTTAACATTAACTATAAAAGTTCAAAAACATTCCTGTATTAACTCCAAAAGCATTTTAAAAGCACAGTGGTGAGGCCAATCGCCTCGTCGCATGGCTACTGACACCAAAATTATAAGCAAGTTAATGCAGCCAGCAAGCAGCAGCAGCCTGCTCTGACAGACAATAGGTTCTAACAATAAAATATAAGCAACTGAATTCCAAAAACATTGCATAACATGCGCAAGCTGCTGCAGCTTCCCTTCAGGCACGTATTCTCCTAGGATGCAAACCAACTCCAGAAGTTAGAATTTTCCCCCATACATTAGTCATTTAAAATGTAAAAAGCTTCAAGTGCATCTTATTATCTACAAATCCTAAAATAATGTAAAATGCCAATTCAATATATTCTATTTGGAAAGAAATCAGGAGACACAGCGTTGTAAATTTCTACTCAGTATGGGGCATTAAACAGTTTAGAGAAGGAGGAAAATAGGTAAGTAAAATATTGTTATACTGTCCTAATTTGGGGTACACCTAAGTATAGAGATAGATTTCTGCAATTAGATTTAATGGTAATATACTATAGTTTTGAAAAATAATCTGCATATACTGCACAGTGAAAAACAAATCCTGGGGTATACTCTTAAAACTTTCCCATTATTACAGAAAAATGAAACTATTGTCTTAACTTTAATTTCACAGAAGGAAGGTTTTCATAGAAAAAAAATAATCTTACAAATAATTCCTGGAACAACCATGTTTTATATGCAGGTAGAACTTCACTTCTATTCCACAATATTTAAAAACTTCAGAAGGAAGAAAAACATGATCTGAGAAGTCTCCCTCACTGAACAACACAATTCTCATGCATTAGAATTATTTTATTTTTAAATTAACTTAGCTGACAGAAAAATGCCACTACTGTACAAGCAAAAGGCAACAAGTGAATGATTTAAAACCAAGATAGCAGAAAAAACACACTTAAAACTGATGCTCTGTTGTTAAAAAAAAAAAAAAAGCTAAAAATCCAAGCTCGTCATTAAAGAAAGGGTTAGAATGACATAAGCAGAAACCTTGCTTTTAAAAACAGGTAAAACAATGTAGTAAAAAGAGATTAAGTGCCAGCCAGACAAATACAAATGAACACCTAAAGGAAAGAACAAATTAAAAATATAGAAATACTACAGGATAGTAAGAAGTCTCATACATGCATATATAGTGCTTTGAATGCAGTGCCTTCTTCCTCAAAGAACCAATAAGACATGATCCTGGGTAGTTCAAACCAACAATCCCATTCCTGCACAATAAACATCTCCAAACTGAACTTCCACATTTGTTGAACTTGCCTTTCTGATAGTCTACAAACCCTCGGGAGAGTCTCTGAAGTTTGTCCGCGGAAGAGAAACTGAAGGTGGGCATGAATAGGTTTTTCAGCTGCATAGAGGCAATGTTCTTCCTTTCATTACTAAGGTGGGAATGTTCAAATGTGGTATTTTATTTTGCCTTGGTAACAGTGTTTAAGCATTATTTAGCAACAAATAATACAAGAAGGGGTCCAACGTGAAAAATTTCACTTTACCTACTTCCACCATCTAAATCTTCAGAATAGGAAGGGATCAGGAGAATAAAGTACTCTTGAGAAACTTCCTTTACCCATCAGTTATCTAAACTTTTGCCCAACTATCTGACCTAATGGTAAGCACTTGTAAAGGCAAAATAAGAAAAGTTACATAAACTAACGACATCAGAAAATCCTTCTTGATTCAAATGCTTTCTCTAGTTTAATCACAAGTCATTAGATTAAAAATGCATCCAAGGAGCTAACATTTTTAAACAAGAAAACCATCTCCACCCTCCTAAGTCTACAATTAGGAGCTATTCCCTCTTGTTTACAGGTATCTCAGCTCTACTATATATGCAGTTATATAGTAGTCCATGTACTGAATGCTGAATTGAATAAACTGTGAAAATGTGCTCGGTAAGGAAACACCTCTGACGAGCTAACTAGGAAGAGAGTTGGTGAGATGAAGTGAGCATGCTGGAAAACTGCCACAAAACCCTAGTGACTAACTGAGTGACTGCAGACAAAGAGATTCTAGCAAATAATTTTTCCTTTCTGTAGGGTCAGTGGAAAAGTCTATGAGGAATTCTCCTTACCTTGAATTACAGACTTTTTTAAGCAGCAGTAGATTCCTATGTTTATTCCACACTGTCTAGTGACAAGGTGTGGAATGACAGTATCCCGAGACTTCTCATAAAAAGACTGCAATACCTGAAGCCCTTGACAGTATTTCAGAGGAATGAAATGCAATGTCTAATGCAGGACTCAAAAAACCCTACAGACCCATACAAAAGAGAAACAAGCCACAACAGCTAACGCAGCAACCCAAAACCATTCCAACAAAATGAGGATGCATTATAGAGGTGATTTCAGCCTGAATAATAAAGAGTTGGGATTTTCTAGTAGTGTCTGCTGAATGAAGTTTTAGAGAGACAATATGCTAAGAGATTGCTGTTTCAAGGGATTTTTGTCTAAGGGGTGACTGCTGTAGAAGAGTTGCAGCATGAACAGTCTCACTCATATTCACAGTCTTGTCCTAAGCTCGTGAGTTTTTCACCCTTCTCTGAACTCTCACTCTGTTGTTAACACTTTTGTCTTGGATTAAAGTGGTATTTCACAAAGATGCTCAATACTGTAGGTGGGTGTATCAGTAGGCCTCCTATGTGTGCGTAACTTACATTTAAAGGAGACATCTGAAAACAGTAAACTAAGTAGTAACATACATGGACAAGCAGCATGTCAAGATATTCTAACCATGGCCTTCAAATAAACACATTTATCATAGTTGCCTCCAAGAATCACATTTATCATATACACCTCCAGGGAGGCTATAAAGGATAGAACCACTACACTGCAAAAATTGTTCGGTTTGAACTCCCATTTACCGGGGTGAGGTGCCAAGTGCTGAGGTGTTAGTAAATCATGTGTGTCAAAAACTGCCTGCAATACACACAAGACAAGGTATAGCACTGTTTTCAATGCTGAAAACCAGTTATCTCTCTTTACCAGTTGCTTTTTCCAAAGTGTTTGCAAATGTTTAACCATTTACCACTTCTTACATGTTGCATTTTCTTCAGAGAGGAATTGGATGTTAAAAACTCTAAGATTTTTTTTACACAAAACACCCACTCTGTGCAAACCAGGCATAACACACACACACAGAAATTCTATGAATTCCCAACTATCAAACAACTAGCAAAGATAAACATATAATATGTTATACGATGCTGCTATAGTCAAGCTGTGCCTTTATGAAAATATTTGTGTAACTGGTATCTATGAGGCACTGCCTCTAATCAATACTAAACAAACCTCTCAAATGAGACACATTACACAGATTTATAGACACTACCTAATGTCCATTATCAGGTCCCTAAAAACACAGTCCTAATTTCTCCACAGCATTTTTGCAATCACTAAGTGCCTGAATCAACTACCAAATTGGTGATGTTTCAAAGAAATCACTGGACTAAGCTCAAAAGACCAGAAGTACTTTCAAGTTAAACAAAGTTCGACAATTTTATGACAAATACAAAAGTAAGTATCTGCCTATTTAGTGGATATGGAGTGAAAAATCTGCAGTATATAAGGTTACCAATTGCTTTTTCAAAAAAAAACTTTAAAAGCACACCTGGTACCTAGTAAATAAAGTTAAGGACCTGTTAAGAACTGCAGTGAAGAGTTTGTTCTTTACAGATTGCAGCAAGTCTGAGTTGAGGAAGTTCTGACAGATGCAAAATGTACACCTGTTGCAGGCGCACATACAGCGTAACCGGGCATGGCTGCGAAAACACACAGAAGGACAGGAGTTGAAATCTTGCTCATAAAATCAGGTGCACATTAGGACTGTGCCACAACCGAGAGAGATTTAGGAATAAAAGGTACATTTGAATGAGTAAGGAGAGGAGAAAAAAAATACACTGGGGAAGCAAGGGTACAACTACAGCTGTGCAGAATTTTAAGGTTAGATGTTCTACGTCTTAGACATTTTGGCATTACCACCATACACAGATCTTAATAGCAAAGCACAAACATGAATGAAAATGTTTGCTGAATTTATTTAAGTTTGTAAGGAAAGCTTCTAAAGGCTTCTGAGTATGTCTGCACAGCAATAGATAACACCCCTTTTTCAAAGGAAAGTAAGCCACATTTTCTACCAGTTTGAATGCACACTTTACAAAGTGACAGTTACCCCTACCTTTCCCACCCTAACAAACACACATGCTTGAAAACTAAGGAAGAAGCAGGAATATTGATATGACAAGACATTTGGTCAGTGCTACACTTTAGTGGTTTCCCAGTATTCCAGCGCTACAAAATAAATACAGGAGAACAAAACAAAACAAAAACTTTACAAATCTAATTCAATAAATTCAGTTTCAAATATTAAAAAATAAATCCTATTATTTTGGGTGAAAGTGACATTAGTTCTATTTAATTTAAAGCAAATGTCAGCTGTCATACTAGACTCCATCTGCTATAATATTTATGTAGTTCAACACCATATTAAAAGCTCCACCCACCAAAAAGAGATGCAAAGTGAGCTTAGCAACAGCGAGATGTGTAGTGAAGAAGAATGTGAGCTTAAGTATCTTCTGTCTGAAGACCAAAAGGTGTTTATACAGTAATTCTATTAAAAAATATAAGATCTATTAGATGAATGAACTGAAGCACATAGAAGTAAACACCCTGAAAATAAAAAAGGCTTCAAGTAGTGCATTGGGGGAACTGTTGTTCACTAGTGTCATTACTTGTAATCAACTATCAAGTTGAGCTATTAACAAGGAGTAAAGCACAGCTTATTCACAAGTCTCTCAAAAATACCAAGATATGAATATTGACATATTGAGTTATGCATCCACAGTAAGGACAGAACAGAACCCTACATATTCATTGGAATTTGCAAGACGAACTGGATGAAGTAGTGTACTCTTTAAAAAAATACCTTAGCAACAATAGCTGACACTGATTTATACGTTGGATACATAACAACTTTCTCAATTTGAAATAATTTGAAGATTCCACTCAAGTCACTTTCATCTCTCTGTTGCTATATCTCAGTGAGGCAGTTCCATCCTTGTGACTAACAATGACATGCAGTGGTATTGTGAGTGACCCATGCAATATGAAAAATATAACGGTTCAAGTACTTACGGATACATTGCCATAGTTGTCAGTTTAACAAAGATATCCTTACTCGGCACATCAACCGTATTACAAGTAAAGGCTTGAGGTGGAGGCATTTTGTGTTTTTTGCAGAATTCAGCAGGAGAAATACTATATTCCTGTCTAACTTCATGCAAGTCAGACTTTGCAGCTACCACTAAGCATGGTATTCTGCTATCCATGAAGTGCTGCTGCAATTTAAAGAAAAGAGTGAAAGAAACACTATATGATAAATTCACCCTGGAACAGCCCAAGCTGAACTGTTTGCAGCAGCATTAAGATACATTCAGTAGACTGAAGTGAGGCATTTCTAGAAACAGAATATTTTATATAGACAAGTAAGTAGACATTAGTTTTGTGTGAGTAACAAAACTGCATTTTTAATGCATCAGCCATATATGACCAGCACTCATAAATAAAATGTCTTTTAAACAGTAGAACTTATGTATAGGACTGGTAACTGACACTGAGTATTTTGTCAGTGAAAAAATACACAAATGTAAAGATTTGTGTATATAAATTATACAAACCTTAAAAATCCTGGCACAGTACTCAAAAGACTTCGGGTTACTGACATCATATACCAGGCAGACAGCATCGCATATGGTCTCAGCGTCAGTTAAAAATTCAGAATCACTGACATCATGTAGCTGGGAAAAAAAGACAGTCAGAGAGGGAGAAAAGCTTTGTCATTATGCAGTTAAAGAAGTTTTATAACTTCCTTTTTTTTCTCACAATTTTTATGGCTCATTTTTATGTATCCTTAGAACTAATGGACTGACTATAGGCAGAATTAACGAAAAAGAAATAGTAGGAATTTACCATACAGCCAATGCATGTGAGCTGTTAACATCACATCTGCAGGCAATCACAACCTCAGCATAAAAAGTTACATTTACTTTAACACAAAGTCTCAGATAACCATAGGAACTGCCATTCATCCTACAGAGGAAAACCACAGAGCAGAGGACTAGATCTTGGAAAACAAAGAAAGAATCATAATATCATAAAGGAAACCTACAGTGGAACAAGCTTTAAAGAAAGTATTTCACCCACTGAAGATTAACTTTAGCCGTCCTAATCACCCTATGTGACAGATTCTTCTCTACTGAATAGGTAGATTGCTTGCTGATAATTTATCATATGTTATAATGTGATGCCCTTCAGCATTAACATAATGGACTGGGTTCTGTACAATTTAGGTCAAGGTTTCAAAAATAACAGGTCCTGAACAGGTTCAGTTTAAAGTATTAACAATATGTAAAACCAAAAGTTATTTGAGCCAGAAAAGGAGTGGGGGGAAAATCCACATTTACAAAGACAACACAATTAAAACAGAAATTTGTTTGCAGAAGGCTCTGAATAATTCACGGAATTTTAAGATTAATCAGTCATATGCAAACAATAATGAGGCAACCTTACCAGCAAGTATTTCTCCTGTCCATATACATAGACTGTATTAATGGCATAGTAAGATTTGTGTTCTGCACGTATTTGCCTCTGTCTCTGAAAATGCAGAATTTCATGTTAGACCACAGCAACTTGCCCCTTTTAAGTTAGATTTGAACTGCTGGTTTACTCCCTTTATTAATGAATGGAAATTACAGTAATCTGTGGTTCATTTTGCAAGTAACTGCATAGCTATAATTCACAATGTACAAGTAATTATTGCGTGCAATAGCCATTTATCTATTTGCTAAAAATAAATAAATAGATAAATAAATACCACACCACCCCCCCCCCCCAGTAATTCTATATTCCCTCACAGAACTCTCCAAACTCAGTAATAAACAGCAAAGCTCTAAGATAAATTGATTTTGCTGTTTATCTCAAAAGCATATATAGGTGAATCTTACTATTAGATTTCTTCCAAGAAGAGCCTGAAGAACTCCACTTTTCCCACAGCCTTTCATTCCAACAACATTGCATCGGAAAACATTTCTCTGAGTCTGTTTTTTCTGAAGGTCTATCTTTTTATCTCTTGTTACTTTTGAAAAAACACAAATATTTTTCACAGGATGTCCATGCATGTATGTATGTGAAAACATGAAATAATTGTCCACTTATATTAAAATGCACAAAAAACAATAAAAAATATTAAATCAAATGTTTGAATTGAGCAGAAAGTAAAGAAGTATATAAGTGAAAAAAGACCATTTGTTTAAGCAATTTACTCTTGAGCAGAGTTCTAAATTTTAATTCCTAAATGGCACCAAAATTAATTTTTTTTTTATTACCTGTAATTGCTGATGCTTGAGATTCTTGTTCTGCAAGTATTGAATAGCCTAAATAACCCAGGTACTCCAGGCAACGCTGTACATCTAAGTATGTGGTTAGTCTAGCAGAGGGGACAAAAAAAGGTTTTTAAATTGTTAGCATCTGTGATACCAATTCTTTACAGTACTGATACAATCTTTTCCTCCTCTCTCCAGATTGACATCATAGAAGTATTCCTGGCACTACTGAAGGGCAAAGCACTGTGAAGGTAAATGGTGACAACTTTACCAGTCTTAATAGCCAGCAAAACACTATGAAGGCAGTACTTGCTGAGGCTTATCAGCCTACACTGTATTTTTTTTCCTCAGCAAATAATGTTTTCCTCATTTTCTGTATTTTCAACAGGAAAAAAACCTCATTATTGAACATCATTATTCATACTGGCTCTAAAGAGTATAACAACAGAAATAAATATTTTGACAACATTCAGGGAGATTTCCACAGCTTGAAGAGACACTTGTTCATAGTTAGCACTAAATCCTGGCCAAATCCTGAACAGGTTATAACAACTGTCTGAAGATTAGGCCACTTGATGGGTATAAAAATGTGACCGCTTGGGTCAATTTTCAACTATTAAACTTCCACTCTTTCTACTAGATTTTCAAGAAGAATCTACAAATGTATTATCATACATTTTAGTAGTTGAGAACTTTGGGTAAAGTATCACACTTACGTCCACTGAGAGAGAAACCCTTGATATGTAATCCACCCCCTTTCATTTGTACAAACAGTGTTGTTAACATCAGGTCCCCATGGCATATAAGGGAAGACTTTGAACAGATCTTTCAATTCATCAGGAGACAAAGCACAATCTCTATCCTGAAAACAAGCATACAATATCAGACATAAATCACTTAATTCATGTCTATTCTAAACTGGCATTTTCTTGCTGTATGCTTGCAAGATTCAACAAACTGGCGATAAGAAACTGAGCTGCTTTCTTTTTAATCATTGTTCTTTTCTTGTTTTTAAATAAGACTAAATATATGAGCTAGTTAAAAAAAATTTGGTAGTATAACTATAACTGCCAACTCTCCTTGTAGACAGAAATATAAATAGCAGGCTAGTTTTGACTGCATAGCTTAAGCCAGAGCCAGTTTGTGAATGAAATGACACAATGACAAAAATATACTTTTTGCTAGCAAAACTGCTAGCAAACTAAGGCTCTTCAGTATAAGGACACACACACACTCAAAAGCTTACCAAATCATGTTTATCAAAAATACTTTGAAGAAACAAGTATGCATGATGATTTAATTCTGTTGTGCAGTCTGGAGGAATTTTTAGCCTGTTTATTGAAAACAAATACAAGTGTTAAGTGTGTTTATGAAATAGAGAATATTAAAACTCAAAATACAGACTTTTTGAATTACAACATTTGGTATTTGATCTCTGCATTTAGTTTTAATAATTGATCTTTAAAGGGATCAAAGCACATACTTTTTATTAGGAGCATCTTCATATTACATGAGATATATATATATAGTAATCAGGTTTTTGTTTGGTTGTTTTTTGTGTTTTGTTTTGGTTTTTTTTTAATGGAAAATTACGCAGTTACATTTTTGAAAAGAAGCCACAGAGTTAGTCGATCTCTTAACTTTTTAATTTGGAGATTTTCAAAGGATCTCAAGTGCTATGAAAATACTGACAAGCTTTTTCTAATTTGTTGCCACATACAATAAGCAACTGCTCAGATTTACGTTCCAGTTTTTTATGAACAGTCTCTTTTGCCATCTTTCTTATAAAGAGAGATAGCAGTACATGATTTGGCACAAGAGACAGGAGTTCTTCCTTTGTAATTTTCAGTCACATGAAGATTTTGGCTGGTAGGTCATAAAGTAAGGGAGATACTTGATGTAACAACGTGTTAACCCTTTCCTCCTGCCAAAGTAGGAGGCAGCATAAATTAAACGCATGCAAGTTAAAGAAAGCTAAAATAAGTGATGCGTACGGAGGAAACAAGTACTCTGGCGTAAGCTCTAAGTCATCGTCATATCCAAATCGACGCAAAACAGTCCAAGTTGTTTCATGCCTTCCTCGCTGAATGAAAAGTGTGTGTAGAAAAAGAAAACCTAAAAATCAAATGATGAAATCTTAAGGCCCTGAAGTGCTTTATCTGCTACAAGTATTTTTAATAGAATCAGACTGAAAACAAAAAAGCTTGAAATACACATTCAGATTTTAAAGCTCCTGGGTGACATTACAGCATTATCTACACAGACTGAAGGTTCAGAAATCATGTTATTTGTCAAAGTATCCCTCAAAGAACTGTTTCCTTAGAACAACCCACTTGTTTCTTCTGGTTTTGTTTGCTTCTTTCAGTACTAGTATTTTAGAGGAACTTATCTGTATGATAAAATGGTAAGCCTTAGCAAGAAGTCTGGAGAATAGTCTCACGGAAGACTGCCTTTAGTTTTCCTGTACCAAAATAACTGGGTAGGATTTTTATTTAGCACTTTCCAGGGCTTCATGAACACTGAGATTTCACTGTTTAGTAAGGCTATGCCTTAAAATTCCACTCTTTACAATTTCTCACACATCCTGTTATATACCTAAGCTCCACAAGCAAAGCAGTTACAGTGATGCTCAGGAAAAAAAACGGTTTTTCTCCTTTCACTTTTGCCATATGCTCTGAGCAAATCTGTACAACATAGCTGTTAAAATGTTGACAGACACCACACCTTGCTGACAAGTGTTGCAGACAGTGAGCTTAGAGACAAGATACAGATTTATCTAGGAGACAATCTCTTTTGAATCAGTACACTTATTTGGATTCCAAGCTCTGTAACAACAAGAAAGACCTTACTTTATTCGCCCCATTATTCCCCATTTCAAGAATCCTTTGATATCATACTGCCACCACACCCAGCTCTTATAGTCTAAAAGAATCAAGATAGAGATCATATTCCAAAAGACTAGCTTTTTTATGTAAGAATGATTATCAACTGCATAAAGACACATCTTTTAATAGTTAAATTGGGCTTACCTTTTAATGTTAATCCATTATCCGCAACTCCATCACTTAGGTTTTTCCTGACTACATTCTTTACATCTTCCAAAGCTTGAGGTGCCAGTGGTGTATTAAAACAAATTCTCTAACAAAAAAACAAAAGGAGAATGTTAGGACCAGTGGCTACTAAGCTGGACAAACAGCATGTCCTGTATGAAATGCAGCCTTAATGTTCTGATAAGCTAGTAAAGGACAATCCAATTTCTTACTGGAAATAAAGGTGTACAAACTTTATTTTTAAATAGAAGCATTGGGGCTTGTACATTTAAATATTTTTTTTTTTATTTTGCTCTTGAACTAAAACTTGAACAATGGTTAAAAATAAAATTAATACCACTTCCGTTTTTACAAATCCACTCTTTTATGCTGCACTTGATACTTTTAGTATTTAGACCTGTTTCCCTTAGAATTCACCTTACTACTGTTCCTTCAAAAACAAATCACTTTGTTTTCTAGAATTACATAGTTCAACTATTAAGCATGGTGAAAAGATAAGCAAAAGAGTTACCTGAAAGAAGTTAAGCTCTGCATCATTGAGAGTACCATCATTATCCTGGTCAGAAATTCTAAAAATGCGAGTGAGTGCTTTAATACAGGCAGGTTTCATCTAAGGAATAGAAGAAAGTTCATTATCTTTCTAGGCTTGAATATAAAAAGATTACATTGAATGACATCAGGCAGCTCAATCAGATTAAAACAAATACTAGCCTTCATTTTACGTTTTTAGAATAGAGACATTCATACACACATATACAAAAATAAAAAGCAAGAGGAAACAAAATCCTGATCTAGCAAATTTATATCCATGATTTTAAAGCAATTATTCCACATTAAATATCTTTCTATTCAATTATTAGAAGAACCTCAAGTTCTTCACAAGCTGAAGGTGGTACTACTTAGTTATTTGAAAAAAAAAAAAAAAATCAATTCTCTAAATTCAGTCTTATTGCTACAGAAAACTCTAAAAAACAACTGAATGTTTCCCCCCCTCACCAAACATTTGGGGGGAGGGGGGGGAACAAGGCCTTGCAATCCCAGTGCCTTGCAAAAATAAACAGCTCTAGAACTACAGTCAACTCTTTCTAAGCAAGCACACTATCTCTATTCACCATTTCAACTATGACTTCAGAAGGCTTCAAACATCAAATATTGAAAATCTTCACAGGGCTCATTCATCTACCAGGCAAAGCATTGATCTTATGGACTATCTCTATGACAAAAGAATTGCTAGGATACCTTCCAAGTGAAGGAAAACACACACTGGTAATTCTCTCCCAACAACTACAGTGATGATGGACTCTTCTCTTCATAGAGGTCACACAGATTGCATAGAGATTGGTTTTGGAAAACCAAAAAGATTTCAGCACAACAATTTTATCACAACATTACTAACTCATAAAGATGATTCTGATGGAAGAAATCAAAACAGGGTTATTCTCTAGTTCTCTACTTAACAAAATATTTATGATTAAAGCAACTCTCCTACTGCCCAATACTAGACAAGGGTTATGTTTAAAGATTTTATTTGTATTTGCCCATGAAATTAATGTTTTTAAAAAAAAAATACTCCTGTTCTAATATGCTCAGCTAACTACCTGTGATACTTAAAAACCAGCTACACCACTTGTTTCTTATCCCTTTTGCCAAAGTCTCACAAGATGCTCAAAACATTCTTTCCCTTGAACCAGGCCAAGTCTGGAGTACTTTCCCTGAAATAGAGTTACTGTGAAATGTATATCTAAAGGAGAACTGAATTGAACACATGATTTTGTTCACATTACATTTGGCTTAAAGCCATTACCAAAGCTTCTCATTTTACTTAGCAGTTCACATGGGCAACAAAAAACTGTCTTCATTGCTTTGAATGAAAAGGAAAGACAGATTAGATTAATACAACACAAAACAATCACCATGGTTCTGGAATATAATGCTTGACATTTGGGGGTAGGGTGGTGGTAACAGAACACACTAAGAAATGCAAAATCCACTGAAAAGGAAAGAACAGGGAAGTGATTAACTCCCCCCCCCATATTATTTGTTCTTAGAATCTACTTATAAATACCTCTTTCTCCTCTGGGCAATAAAGAGGACCTGTAGGATGTAGAACAGCTTTCTGCGCATAATAAAATAGCTCAGATATATTCTTCAAGTTTTTGGCTGAACACTGAAAGAGAAATCCTTATATGGATTAGCTAGTTTCTTGACTATTTGGTGATTTCTTCTGAAATTTAAGCAAGCATCAAACTTTTAATGATCTAGCTCCCTCTAGTGGGTACAGTGCTGTTCTGGAAAAAAGACCCCTAGCCCCTGTCCCACTACAATTTGCTGTCATACCAAGAACAGAGAAATCAAAAAGTTGTATCTACTGGGGGGGGGGGGGGGGGGGGGGGGGAGATTCACGACCAATAATTCAATATTTTTTTTTTTTGTGGGATTGCT